AGAAGATTGGGGAGGGTATACTCGGATCATTTTCCTATTATGTTATCGGGGAATAGAAGGGGTGGTGGAAGAAGACCTTTCAGGTTTGAGAAGATGTGGTTGAAAGCAGAAGGTTTTAGGGAGCAAGTACGGACGTGGTGGACTTCCTATGAAGTCAGTGGGTCCCCCTGTTTTGTTTTGGATCAGAAGCTAAAGGCGTTGAAAGGGGACTTAAAGAAATGGAATGAGGAAGTTGTAGGCAATGTTAACTGTAGTAAAAATCAGTGTCTGTCAGAAATAGAGGAATTGGATAGGCAGGAGGAGAGTGAGGGGTTGACTGGGGAGGAGAAGGAGAGACATAGAGGATTAAAGGAAGAGATGGAGAGGTTGGTAGAGATGGAGGAGATTAATTGGCGACAGAAATCTAGAGTTACTTGGTTGAAAGAGGGGGATAAATGCACTAAATTCTTCCACAGGGTCGCCAATTCTAATAGGAGGAACAACTTCATCACAGTTTTGGAGGTGGACGGGGTTACTTATGAGGAACCACAGGAAATTGGAAGCCAACTGGTTCATTTTTATCAGAACCTCTATCGGGAGCAATTTGAATGGAGACCAGAATTGGAGGGATTGCATTTTTCTACAATCAATGAGGATGATGCCTGATGGATGGAGAGACCATTCGGAGAGGATGAAATTAAGGAGGTCGTTTTCAGCGTGAACGATGATAAGGCCCCGGGACCGGACGGTTTCTCGTTCTCATTCTACAAAGCGTGTTGGGATGTGGTTCGACTGGACATTGTGAATACTTTATCTTATTTTTTTGAACGTGGCAGATTTCAGAGAAGTTCTAATGCCACATTTATTGTGCTCATCCCTAAGAAATCGGGAGCGACTGATATTAAGGACTTTCGCCCCATTAGCCTTGTCAGCGGGGTGTATAAGATTATTTCGAAAGTCCTGGCAAACAGATTAAAGGAGGTACTGGGAAAAGTAGTGTCCAATTTTCAGAATGCATTTGTAAAAGGGCGTCAGATTTTGGACTCTGTGCTTATAGCGAATGAATGCATAGATTCAAGAATGCGCTTAAGGGCCCCAGGGATGCTTTGTAAGCTAGATATTCAGAAGGCTTACGACCATGTGAATTGGGGTTTCTTGTTATATATGCTCAGGCGCTGTGGCTTTGGGGATAAATGGTGTAAATGGATTCAATTCTGTATTTCTACTGTTTCATTCTCAGTTTTGGTCAACGGAACACCAGAGGGTTATTTCCGGAGCAGTAGAGGCTTGAGACAAGGGGATCCATTATCCCCTTTGTTATTTGTCATTGTGATGGAGGCTCTCAGTAGGATGATCGAAAGAGCAGTGAGAGCGGGTTTGATAAAGGGTTTTATGGTTGATCAATTGCAGGTGTCTCATCTGTTATTTGCAGATGACACACTGATCTTATGTGATGCAGATGTAGAACAATTCAGGAACTTGCGCCATCTGCTCTTATGTTTTGAAGCGGTGTCTGGTTTGAAAATTAATTTGGGAAAGTCTGAGGCTATCCCAGTTGGGGAGGTTAATAATGTCGAGGAGTTGGCTGATATATTGGGTTGTAAGGTTGCGCAGTTGCCGATGTCATATCTAGGACTCCCATTAGGGGCACGATTTAAAAGTACCCATATCTGGAATGGTATTGTAGAAAGGATGGAGAGAAGGTTAGCAGGGTGGAAGCGTATGTACCTTTCTAAGGGTGGTAGACTTACTCTCATTAAATCCACTCTCTCCAATCTCCCTACTTACTTTTTGTCATTGTTCCCCATTCCGATAGCAGTGGCAAAGAGACTAGAGAGGCTTCAAAGAGAATTTCTGTGGGCAGGGTTGGGAGAGGAGAGGAGACTCCATTTGGTCAATTGGGGAGTTGTTTGTTTGCCGATGAGGATGGGAGGTCTTGGGGTGAGGAGCTTTGTGTTGTTCAATAAAGCCTTATTAGGCAAGTGGTTGTGGCGATTTGCAGTGGAGAGGGACAGTTTTTGGAGAGAAATAATTAGGGCGAAGTATGGTGTGACCGATGGGGGATGGTGTACATTTGAGGATCGTGGTTCTTATGGGGTGAGCTTGTGGAGGTATATCTGACGGGGATGGAGTGCATTTTTGGACAAACTGAAGTTTGTGGTTGGAAATGGTAATGAGATTAAATTTTGGGATGATTGTTGGTGTGGAGATCAACTGCTAAAGGAGAGATTCCCTTCTTTGTATCGTATTGCCTCAGTGTCCACTGCCATGGTGAGTGATTCCTTAGACATTCATAATGGGAGTTATAGCTGGAATATAACTTTTGGGAGGGATCTTCAGGATTGGGAATTAGAAGATTATTCTCTATTTATGACCATTTTACATGAGGCCCAAATTCGGATTGGAGAGAGGGATTGCATCAGGTGGAGGACAGCACAGGATGGCATTTTTTCAGTTCGCTCATACTTTGGTTCCCTCATGGGATGTGTGAATAATTCATTCCCATGGAACTTGGTTTGACAGTGTAAATTGCCTCCTCGGGTGGCATTCTTATTGTGGACAGTTGTGAGGGGACGGATCTCAACGGTAGATAATCTTCGTCGTAAAGGTTTTTATGCAACCGAGTGGTGTTATATGTGCAAGAAGGATGGGGAGACGATTGATCATTTGTTCATTCATTGTGATGGTGTACGTTGGATTTGGAACAGTATAATCAGTTCACAATCTATGGATTGGGTGATGCCTCGTCGTATAGAGGACGTGATACGGGCATGGCGTAGAAAACTTCGGGATAAGGATAGCAAATTAGTATGGCACCTTATCCCGGGCTGCATTGTTTGGTGCGTGTGGAGAGAAAGGAACAACCGTTGCTTCGAAGACCAAACAAAGACAAGAGAGCAGATAAGAGAAACATTTTACTTTACCTTGTATTCTTGGTTTAATGCTGTGACTAGAAATCCTGTAGATGGGTTGCCTAATTTCATGTTTTTCCTTAATAGCTTAAAGTGATTGTACACCCCCCGTGTATTCTCTTTTAAGTAATAAAATTATTTGATTACCTATAAAAAAAAAACGTTCAGCAACTCCATTCTGTTGAGGATTATAGGGACAAGATCTCAAGATACAATAGCTTTATGCTGTAAAGACTATGAAAGTCATGTAACATATGTTCTCCCCTATTATCGGACCATAAATGTGCAAAATTGTGTCTCAATGTAAGTCATAAAGTTTTGAAAAATCATGAACACCTCAACTTTAGAGTGCAAGAGTATACCCAAGTAAAACGGCTATAATCATCAATTAATGTCATAAAATACTTATTGTGCATGAGAAATAATAGGAGTAATATCTCATACGTCACTATGAATAATCTCAAAGCATGTATTAGTAATATCTCATACATCACTACAATGAGTAAGAAAAGGTAGAGTTTTACTTTTTACTAATCTACAAGTGGTACAATTAAAAGTCAATCCATGAATAGAACACTAAACTTTATTATCAGTAGAACCACACTGTTTCAAATTAGACAAAAACATTATTCGCATGACCTAATTATTTATGTCAAACCTCAGTTTTATTAGCAATAGTAATACAAGTCAAAGCCAAAGTAGGAGGAACAATAAATTGCAAAGGAAATAGTCTTCCTATTTTAGGTCCCCTTGCAATCACCTTTCCAGACACTGATCCCTCACAAGGCAACCATCACAAGAGAAATGCACAGTAGAATTATTGTCCACCAACTGACCAACAGAAATCAAACTAGTAGACAACCCAGGAGAGACGAATACATGACTAAAAGAACGACTAATATTACCAATGAATGTAATTGAAAATTGCTTCTATTAAAGGTTTTATAGACTCAAGAATCCAAGAAATGATCTGCGCATCCTTTGTCTCCCTTTGGCTAAGTCCTATGCCCTTTTCAGGGGCGAAGAGTATCTGTCAATGTGGTCTCAAAACTCCTTGGCTTTTAGAGATATTTTGAATTGAAATTCCCATGTTGCATAATTTTTGTCGTAAATTTTATAAAAAACTCTCAGTGGACATTCTTCCCAATTAAACAATCAAAAGAAAACACCAAATGAAAAAAAATAAGACACAAAACAAAAGGCAAAAGAAAAGTCTAATTACAGTCTCAACTATATCTTTAGCATCACCATGCACAACCCCGAAACACCAAATGAAAAAAAATAAGACCCATAACAAAAGGCTAAAGAAAAGTCCAATTACAGTATCAACTATTTCTTTAGCATTGCCATGCACAACCCCTTTTACATGTAATAAATATACCAGGAGAAACTATTAGTTAAAACTGATATCATATTAATAGAAATTTCCCAAGCTTTCATAATTTGCTCTACTACCTGTCTCCATAGCAGTCGTAGTATATATAATAAACTAAATCTAAATTACCCTTTTCTGAAGAGACAGAAGAAATCTAAATTTTATTTTTGATGAGTTGGAAGGAACAATTTGTGTCCTAATGTATTAGGCTCAATGTTAAAGATTACTTGTGCGTATATAACCATATTTATGAAATAGTTGAAATAAGTCTGCTGCCTCTTGCCCAGTACATGAAGTTACCCATAATGAAAGCTTTATGCACATACCGTTTTCACCATTTTTTTTAATTGATCAGTGAATATATTATAACCCTGGCTTCAGCCTGATTGTGACGGTGTAATTTTTGCATTGAATTTATGTTGCACAAAATTTTGTTTTAGAGATAATTGACATAACGCACATAAGCTTTTTGGTTAGAATGTGAACGCAATTATTTTATGCAAACTGTGTCAAAGCTAGGACTATTCCCAGCTTAGATCTCCAGCTTCCCTTTGTTAAGACCAGACTAGAGGATTGCCATTTTACAGTGAAAACTAAAATTTGAACTAGATATTTTGTATATTATCTCATGGCATTTTTGGGTATTTTGATTTGAAACACGTGGATTGTTTTAGTAGAATTTGATGGAAAGATTCAGTTGATGGAAATGTTATGGCGTTTGACTTAATTGGCAGAGCAAGATGAAGGAATTGAGCGATCAATTGACAAAGAAGAAAAGTCAAATAGCAAATATGATGGAAAGGACGTCTGAAGTGAGGAGAATGAAAGAGGATTTGCAGCATAGTCTTTCAATGGTATGGTGGTTATAGCATCTTTGTCATTTTCTTATTATTGGATATTTTGTCTGTTTATTTGTAAAGCTTAAATACACCGTCAATTAGACGTATTCTGATAATAAGTGTTCAGCTGTTGCTCCTTTCTTAGACTTTTCTTTATTTTATGTTCTTCCACCTTCTGGGAGAATTCTTTTGTTTGCGTCATGTCGCAAAATGTCTTGAGTATCGATATGAAATTTACTTCTCTTTCTGAGTTTTTTTCTCAAGAACTTGTATTTTAATATCTATTTTATTTATTTATTTTTAAAATTTATATATTTTGTGAGAAAATTTCATATATTGTGTCTTTTATGTTTCCTGGACTACTGCAGTCATAGCTTTGTAGTCCAGTGTCCCAATTCCGCTAAGGATCTTATATTTTCAAGTTTGTATATAGGCCACAAAGGAGAGGCTTGAACTGGAAGGTGAACGAGATCTCAAGACTAGCCATATTCAGAAAATGATTCAGCAGGTTAAACTGTTAGAGCAACAGATTCATGATATTCATGAGCAGCATATTCAAAATACACAGGTTTGCTTTACTGTCCTTTTTTTTTGGCTTGGTTTAACATGAATCTGCGAGTTCTCAAGATGAACTAATGTGTCTACATGTGTGTTGTATGTCAAATGAGCTTGTAATATTGATTGAATTATTACGTAAATTCATGTTTTCTTCGTCATTTATGAATATGTTGCCTTCCCTCGTTTCTTATTCTTGCTGTGCATTTTTTTCGTCACTTGTGAATGCTTCATTCTGAGACTTGTTATGTTTTTCCTAGACTTATTATATTTCATTGTGCTTGAACTTCAGCACAGATGGAATAGATTTTACTTCCAACCAATTTTACAATTATGAATATGCACTATCAATACCTTATTGGTTGTAGGCTGAAGAAAATGAGATGGAGGAAAGGCTTCAGGAACTTCAAGTTGAAGTTGATGAAGCTAATGATATATTTCAAAGGTAACTGATCAAGCTTTCTGTACATATTCACCTTGTAGGTTTATGCTTTCTTTTGATTTTGCATCGTTGTCCTTTTAATCCGACTGAAATAGTTATATTCAGATTGAAGGACGAAGAAGATGCATTGACAGAAAGTCTAGAAATGGCAAAAGATGAAATTAAAAAAATTGCATCTCAGGTATGAATTCTTTGTTATCATGGTATCTTATGACATCTTTTACATCCTTGTTACATTTTTTACACCTCTTTAAGAATTCATATATATACTATTCTCAGATTATTTTATTTATTTGGAAAAAGTGAACAAATGTTGAAGAAATCTTCCTGCATGAGATTTTTTATATCCTTATGGTTTGGCAGTTGAAACTCTGTAGAAATATTTTATTTTTGATGATTTAGATTTTTGGCATGTTCGCTAAAGGTTTTTTCGCCTAATCTCGTGCTTCCTATCCTCTCCTTCCTTTTTTTGCCCTTTATGTTGGAATCCATGATTATGGATCTTGTAACTTACTTTTTCAGATTGAGGAATATGAAAGAAGGCATCGTGAAATTTCTTCTCACATCCGTGAACTCCAAATGCACCAAACAAACCAGGTGTGTTAATTATTCTTTTATCTAGGTACAGGTGAACTGAATTTTTTCCTTTTAATTTTGTTGCTTAACTCAATCTTGCATGCTTTCTCGTGCACTTCTATCTTTGAAGCTTTTCGCATTCACATTGTCCACATGGTCCATTTTGTTGGCGAAGTGTTGTAACAAATTAAGTGCTTGTTTGTTAGGGATTTTGATAATTGATTTTTTGACCGTTAGAAAGGAAGTCGATTCTACCTGTGAGAGAAAAATTCAAAAATGACGGCTGAAATAGTAAAATAACGGTTAAAAATTTAATTTTAAAAGCCTTAATAAACAAGCTATAAGTTTGTACCTTTGCACTGGTCAATGCAGTCAAATTATCTGCCATATGAATCAATAAATCCTATTTGCATTTATCAAACTTTATGCGTCTTTTAGTGCCATTGACGGTATTTTTCTTTCTGGACATCATTTTCTTTTTTCATTTTTTTTTTTATTGCAGGTTACAGCTTTTGGAGGTGGTAGAGTGATCAATCTTTTACAAGCAATTGAGCGGCATCGACATAGATTTAAGAGGCCACCGATTGGTCCTATAGGTGCCCATGTGGTAAAATAACCCAGATTACCTTGCAAATTCTAATATGCATGAATGCACTTCATTTGCTTTTGTCAACTTAAATAAATTATTATAGTGATCGGTTGTTCTTTTTCTTGCACATTTCTCTTTTCTTGAGTGGGATTGTGTGGTGTGATTTCTCTTTTATATTTGCAATTTAACAAAGTGGGAGAGTGAAATGTTTATGTGATTATATCTAGCTATTTGTGTCACATGAAATGCTTGTCAATGAATCTCATAACCTAATTGACCATTAATTTTTTTTTCTAATTTCACTCCATATTCTTCCCTATGAATGCCTTCCGAGATGATATTCCTTAGCATGATAATAGTGCGTCACTAGCTTGGCCAAAATAATAAAAATAATTATACAAGTTCCAACAATTTAAGTTATAAACTGAATTGAAAACATTATTTTTCTTTGGGGACTCGGTTTGCCCCTTTCTTTCTCATTCCAAGAAGCTGTACAAGAAAAGGGATTAATAGACAGTAAGTACATGCATGCCAATCTATTTTATATCCTATTACTTCAAAATTACTGAACTACTTGATCTAAAAGCTTAAGATGTAAGAGATGTCTACATGTATATCATAAAATATTATTTTCAACAGGCCCATCTGTGTAGGCTGGGATGATATTTTTTCCTAACAATGCCCAACACGTGCACAATTCTATTAAATGGTTGGCAACTAGACTTGAACCTAGGAGCTTTGCTTACTTCATTATCATGTTGAACCATTTGATTTAAAAGCTTAAGCTTTTAGAAAGGTTTGCATTATGTCATTTAAATATTGTATTGAAATCTGTAAAGAATTGTAAATTGCAGTGAAATTTAAAGTAATTTTCTTTATGAATACTGATAGATAATGGAAGATTGAAAATATGAGTTGTATTGATGAATTATCATTATTAAAAGAGTTTATATAGCTGAACTCATTCAGCAAAATGAGGAAAGTTACCAAAAAGTAAAAGATACATAAAAAATCCAATGCCTAGAAATCTAGGATTGGAATAACTATCCTAAAAATAAGCAATTATAAAGATAATATTTACATAACTGTGTAGAATTTTCCTAAGTTAGGAAAATTATACTTTTCCATACTCCCCCTCAAGCTGGTGAAAGGATATCTTCCAATCACAGCTTGCTAACTATTCCTTGAAAAGCTGCTCTAGACAATCCTTTGGTTAGTATGTTTGCCAGTTGACCACTAGTCGAAGTAAACGGTGTACAAATTAGACCACTATTAAGCTTTTCCTCTATAATATCATCTACATAGACTAACAATGCGGTCACTCTCCTTAATGTTGAGTGTTTTACAAATGAAGTATGATTGCCTTGGCTTTGCTTGTATCCCATGCTAAGCATCACATTGGTAAATCTTACCAACCAAGCTCTTGGAGATTGTTTTAATTTGTACAAAGCTTTCTTCAATTTGCACGCCATATTCTCGTCTTTACTAAAGTTAAAAATCCCAGTGGAACCTCCATATAAATTTCTTCTTAAAGTTCACCAGGTAAGAAGACATTCTTTTCATCAAACTAGTGTAGTTTCCATCCAAAATTAGCGTACAAAGCTTTCTTCAATTTGCACGCCATATTCTCGTCTTTACTAAAGTTAAAAATCCCAGTGGAACCTCCATATAAATTTCTTCTTAAGTTCACCAGGTAAGAAGACATTCTTTTCATCAAACTAGTGTAGTTTCCATCCAAAAATAGTAGCCAATGACAACAATATTCCCACTGTATTCATTTTAGCAACTGGAGCAAATGTCTCAAGATAGTCTTTACCATAGGTCTCTGAGTATAACCATTGGCAACTAATCTTGCTTTATACCTTTCTAGAGAGCCATTTGACTTGTATTTAACAGCCATCTACATCCAATTGGTTTCCTCTCTTTAGGTAGCTCAACTAGGTCCCATGTTTGGTTCTTTTCAAGAGCTTCCATCTCAACCTTCATGGCATTCTTCCAGCTATCATCTCTTAATGCATTTGATTAAGTCTTGGGAATAGACACCGTGTTTAAGCTAATAAGAAAAGATCTGTGGTTATGAGATAAATTCCTATATGACATGAACAAGTGTAGAGGATGTTGGGTACAAGCTCTTGTTCTTTTTTGATGGCTATAGGAATATCATAATCATTTTATTCAATGACCTTTGTGGTTTTATTACTAAGAGAGATTGGATTAGCGATTACCTCAATAGGATGAGATTCAGGTGACTGGACTTGCATAGGTTGAGTGATTGGTGCCTTCTTCCTTGAATAAGTCAACAATGGACAAGTAGAGCCTTGGATCTGCTCCTCATTCACTATATCTTGTGACTTGCGCAGCCCTCTATTTTTTGAGATCTTGGGGATCAACTGGGCCCCAAACGTGGATGAATGTTTGTTTGATGCTTAGGTTGTTGAAACTAATTCAAATCTTCTACTATTTTACTGAAGTAAAACATTGTTACCCTTTTTTTTTAGTTTGGAAAGTCCACTGTACCCCCTACAACTTATTGCCTATGGATACTTGGACACCAGATGTTTGTTTCAGAAAAGTATAACGTGTTCGACACTTGAAGGTGCTTACTTTTCATGTGCTGTAACACTGTGCAATAAGGCTTGCATACTAATTTTTTAAATTTTGCTTGTAGGAAGGTTTTTTTTTTTTTTTTTTTTTTTTTTTTTTTTTGAAATAGTAAAGCTCTAATCATAGCTAGGAGATGACCATTCTTTTGTTCGGCCACTCCATTTTGTTGGAGTGTATTCACATAATAGGATTCATGTGTTATGCCCTATTTTTGGAAATGAGGAGATAGAAATTGACTGAAATAGTCTTTAGCATTGTTAGATCGAAATCTTTTAATTTCAACACCAAATTGAGTTTTGATCATATTGTTAAAAGTTGGAAACACTAAGCTCACATCTGATTTATTTTTCAAAAGAAAGATCCAAGAAACACGTGTCTGATCATCAATAAATGAAACAAATCACCGAGACCCAGAAATGTTAGCAACAGTAGAAGGCCTCATTTATCACTATGAATGAGAGTAAATGGAACCGATGTTCTTTTATTGCTAATTGGAAAATAAGTGCGTTTGTGCTTTGCTAGTTCACACACTTCACAATGAAAACTTTCAACAAATAATCCTTTAACCAATAAAGAAAATATATATTTAAGAGTACTAAATTACGGGTGACCAAGACAAAGATGTTGAAGCTAAATTTTGTCTTTATTGTATTTAAATGAACCAAAAGGAAATGATAAAGGTGAAGAAATCGTAGCTCTAGCTTCTCCATTTTATTCTTCAAGATAATAGAGACCATTCCTTTCTCTAGCATGTCCAATCATCCTCCTTGTTCCCTGTTCCTGGAACACACAATGATCAGGATAACAGATCACACGACAATTAGAATCTTTGGTGAGTTTCTGGATGGACACTAGATTGGTGTATAATTTCGGAACATGAGGAACATTCCTTAGTGTAAGAGTTATTAATAAAAATATCTCCTTGATCAGCTACTGTTGTTACGGAACCATCTGCAATTGTTATTTTTTTATTACTAGGACACGGGATATATGAGATGAATTTTTGTGAAGAGCAAGTCATACGATCTGTAGCGCCTGAGTCAATGACCCAAGCTCTGGAAAGACTTTATTAGAGACATTAAAGCATGAGAAGAAGAAGATATACCTGAGAATGCCAAAAAAAGGGTACCTGTAGTAGATGGTTTTTCTAATCCCTAACAGATTTTTTAACTTCTCAATTTCTTCACGATTGAATTCTGTAGACAGACTCTTAGTTTCCTCTGTTTTTTTTCCCATATATACCTGCTTCTGTCCACCACGATCAGACCAGTTTTGAGTTGGATTTTGAGGCTTGCCATGAAGCTTCTAGCAATCGTCCCTTTTATGGCCTGGATTCTTGCAATAAGTGCACCACAGAGCATCTTTGTTTAATAGTAGCGTAAAATCTCCTTGTTTAATGTTTTCACCAGTATGTTGTTTCATACTAGAATTTTTCATGTTTGCGTTTTTAGATACCAAAGCTGAACTATCTACTCTAGGTGTATCAACCGTAACTCCTCTTCTTCCTTCTTCAGCAAGGACTATTGCAATAGCCTCATCTAATGATGACAAGTCTTCTTTTCCGAGTATTTGCACCCTTACTGCATCAAACTCAATATTTAATCCAGCAAGAAAATCATAAATTCTGTCTTTTTCAACAAACCTCTTGAGAACGATCGTCGCATCTTCAATGCACTTCGTTTGGATGCGTAGATAGTGATCTATCTCCTATCATAAACCTTTTAAAATGTTTGAATATTCGGAGATTGATCAATCTCCCTGTTTGGTTTGGTGGCAGTAACCTTGGTTTTGATTGCATAGATTTGTGCAGCGTCACACACTTTGGAATTTGTCTGTATTATAACTTCCCATATATCTTTGGGAGTGTCCAAAAACATGCATGTGTCATTGATTTCTAGCACCATAGAGTTCCACAACCAGCACATCACCATTGAGTCATGTTCATCCCAACCATCGAAATCTGGATCCCCTCTTTTAGGCCCAATTCCAAGTAGATGACTTAGTTTGCCTCTACCCTTCAAGAAGCCAAGAAGGTACGAATTAGTTGTGACCACTGCAGATAATTCTTCCCATTCAACCCGTAGGCTGCTTGAATGTTTTGCAGTTCTCCTGTTGATAAAGCATTATTGCTTTCAAGCGCTGTAGTCTCTGAAGGATTGTTGGTTTTCGAAGTATCCATCGTTGTCTTTCAATACAAAGGTTGGCAAAACTGAATTTAATTGATGATGTAAAGACAAGAGGATGAACAAGAAAAAAAATGAATACAATTTCCAGGATAATGAGCCTAAAGCTCGATATCATGACAGAAAATAGAAGATTGATAATATGAATTGTATTGATTAAAATAGAAGATTGAAAATATGAATTGTATTGATTAACTATCATCATTACAAGAGTTTATAAAGCTGAACTCAATCAGCAAAATAAGGAAAGTTACCAAAATATAAAAGACACTTAAAAAAATCCAATGCCTAGAAATCAGGGATTGCAATAACTATCCTAAAAATAAGCAATTATAAAGATAATATAATATTACATAACTGGACAGAATTTTCTAAGTTTGGAAAATTATGTTTTTCCACAAATACCTGTAAAATCCCTCTGATAATTCCTACTATTACATCAAGGAAATAACTAAAGAAAAAATAATGACATTTGACTTTCGAGAGGTCCCATTCTCTCCTCACAAATCTCGATTCGAATGGAAGGCTTTTCAAGGTCATTGTCTCCTTTTATAGAAGTCATCTGGGTTGAACTCAATATGAAAATGTTTATGTCGGATGATGCTTTATTTCCTTGAGTCCAGAAAAGATATTTGATTGATGAACATTCTTACAACCATAAATATGCTTCGCTCAGTATATTGAATACATATGTGAGTTAATATCATCTTAATTCCAGTTTAGAGATGTAGATTTTGGGCTTTTAGCCTGTTAGGTTTGTGATCTTAGGATTTTAGATTAATGCTAGGCCATGCTCATTTTTGGATAGAGTTGACACTATCGCAAAATCACTTATTCCATGTTTTTGATGGTTCATTTGTTGCAGAACTTGGAACATGGTGACACGTGGTCTATTGCTATTGAAAATGCAGTTGGCCGGTTGCTTAATGCTTTCATTGTCACAGATCATAAAGATTCCCTTGTTTTAAGAGCATGTGCTAGGGAAGCGAACTATAATCATCTTCAGATCATCATATATGACTTTTCCAGATCAAAGTAATGAGTTGACTTTACTTTTTAAGCTTGTAACCAACTTTGTTTCATATAGTGAACCTGTTCTAAATGAGCTTCTTTTTGGCAGGCTGAACATTCCAACTCACATGCTTCCCCAGACTAGTCATCCAACTGCATTCTCCATTATCAAATCTGACAATCCTACCGTGTTGAATGTATTGGTTGATGTGGTAAATTTTGCAATTTCTTGGTATTTTAGACAACTATTTTATTAACTTTTAAGGTTAACCCAGCACAGTGCCTATTTGTTAGTCTGGTTCTTAGATAAATGTTTGTCATATATTTGTTTCCTAAGTTCTGTATATGTGCATTTCTGATATTTTAGTAATGTTTGATATTTATCTTATAGGGTAATGCTGAGAGGCAAGTTCTTGTTAGAGATTATGATATTGGCAAAACGGTTGCTTTTGATCAAAGGATATCAAATCTGAAGGAGGTTTACACTTCTGATGGCTACAAGATGTAAGCTAAAGTGATTCACACTGGACTAATGTGCTGTGGTAGCAAAATGGATATAGGCTTTTAGCACATCTCACTTCCATAATTACTCTTTCTTGGAGGAACATGCCATGATGCTACTATGGGAACCGTTATTATATATCTAAAAACAATTGTAACCATACTAAACATAGATTATAGCTTTCTCAAAGCTCAGATAATGTGTGCATAAACACATGCAATTTTAATGTACATGCAGATGTGTGTATCTGTGTTCATACATACACGGATGTATACTCATGTGCTCAACTTGCATTTCTATGCATCTGCACATGTACATATGAACCAACATACATAAAATCACACGAAGCAATTTTTATGCTTATTTGTATTTGTACATGAAAAATGTATATGTGCTTCTTTTGCAATAAAATAATATAAATTTTATATGAAGTGCGAATTAACTCGCCAGGACTAACACAAAGTGTATCTTTAGGTGCCTTTCTTCCTTGCTCTGATGTTTAAAATTTCACAACCATAATGTTATGAAGAGTTATTATCTGTCTCATGTGAAGTCATTATGGTTTTCGACTGGCTGAAATATAGTAGATTGTTCCAGGCATTTCAGATCTGAACACTCACATTTCATTCTACTATGTATGGTAGTTGTCTAATGTTGCCTAAACATGGTAGCAGCTGCAAATAATGGTGCTCCTCCGCAGGTTTTCCCGTGGTTCAGCCCAGACTATTCTTCCCCCAAACAAGAATGCTAGAGGTGGCCGTCTTTCTGGTTCGTATGATAATCAAATTAAAAATCTGGAGAATGAAGCATCGAAGACAAAAGAGCATGCTCAACAAGGCCGGGGAAGAAAACGTAACAAGGAGGAAGAACTCAGTAGTCTTCTAGACAAGATGAATAATGCAAAGGTATCAACATTTTCTCTCAAGTTCTCTTTTGAGTGCCGAAGCAACTGTCTCCTTACAAAATGCTTTTGCGGTTATACTCGTAGAAGATTAAAAGATAGAACTGGCATCTGTAAAGAGATTTTGATGTTCCAATGTTTGTGAATGACATTTGTGACATCTATGTTGAATTAAAACAGCATATAGCCGAGATATATGATAAGCGAATGAAAATATATGATAATGATTACATTTAAAGATTAAGCTGTTAGAAAGGGGACACATGAATTTGTACGAGTTTAATCTTCAACACCTCCTCTTGCAGGCCGGATTCATTTTTTATCAAAGCTTGACAAATGCACAATTTTAATAAATGGGTGGCAGTGAGGCTTGAGCGAAATAGCTTTATCTACTCTATTACCATATTAAAGAATTTTAAAAACAGACACCAGTGCTGATGATAGAGACAAGCCTTACCAGAGATCTAGAAGAGAATCATCAATCTAAAATGAGGAAAGCAAACAAAATGATAGATTTGGACATGATTTGACCTAAGTGCACTGTGATGATGAATTCTTGATCCTCGCAAACACCTAATCTATTTTTGAAAACTCCTAACTATCAACCAAACTTCTTCAAGATCCTAGAACTTATACCGAATAATGCGAATTCAATGACTTCTCATACAATGATGCCAATAAAATTCTATGCTACATGTTTCCTGAGTTGTCACTCACTCATGTTCTTTCTCCAACCTCTTAATTTCCTACAAATACTTTGAAAATGCTTGTGGTTTGATTGAATTACTGATTAGTGTGACAGTGTCCCATGACGGAAATGATTGCTCGTTAGGACGCTTATTAATAGCTTGTTTAGCACAGATTTTTCTAAAATACTTTTTCTCCAAAATCATTTTCAACCACACATTTCATTGGACCCACAACTTTTATCCACTTTTAACCACACATTCTCCAAAAAATCATTTTTCGCATGGAAAAATCTGTGCCAAACAATAGCTAAATAAAGCAATACCATTAAAACATGCGTGAACTTTCAGATCTATGGTGATGAATGGTTCGTGGATTTTACCTTATTTTATATGTAGCAGTTTGTTAGATACCAAGAGTAAACAGAGAAGAGAAACAGGAAATATGAAGGAAATTATATTGAAATTGATTGAATGGAAAATTACAACTCAAGGAAAACATAAGAGGCCATTCGAGAGGGCCATACTCTCCTAATATTTCTTTCCTCTCAATGATTTCTGATACCCGACTCCCAGCAAATACTCTATTTATAATACCCCTTGTGTAACTAACTCCAACCTAGTCACTATTTTATAACAGATTTTGTTATTCCATCTTTCTTGGTCCTTGTAGAATAGGTATGTTGAATCAGGGGCCTATCACAGTTCAGTGATACTAGATTCATTTTTTATCCCAAATTTACTATTATGTGCGAAGGATGATCCTGACTAATACCCCCCCCCCCCCCCCCCCCCTACATGATGCAGAAGCGGTCCATTTCCTTTATCTTATGCATTACCTAATTTATTATTTCATTTCTTTTGGCCATTACATGATTTTTTTATTTTTTATTTTTTTTTTGGAAATTCTAATATTTCTACTCTTATACAGGAGAAGAAACATTTTGAGAATGTCATGAGTAATCGAGTTCTTTCTGACCTCAATAATGCAGAGACAGAGTATCAGGAGCTTGAACATAACAGTAAGGTGCATCTCTGATCCTGCCCTGGAATATAATATAGTACTAATGTTTCATTTTTTATTTTATTTATTTATTTTTTGAGTTCTAACCAGGCTGACTTGACAAAATGACTCACTTTGTTGGTTCAATAAACTGCATCTGCTCTATGTAGCATCATATACTTAAGCATAGCCACAAATTATTTTGTAAGCTGTACTTGGGAACCAAAAGTGTTACATCTGTGAATATCATCTTCCAATACCTTTTCCTCCCGAGTCCCATCTTTTACTCTTCTACAATTTGGTTTTATTACATTCTATAAACTCTTGGCTAGATGCTTCTACTTTATACTTCTTTAATGCAGGAATTTTTCTGTTGAAAGTTTCATCTTCTCTGTTATTTCTATTCCACATTAGTAAATTATGAAATTAGCTAGTATTTATTCTGCTATTAAGCAATTACAAATGAATTTCTAGCAATACCTGATGTTAACTTCATGGTGGAATCACAGGAGAACCGCCGGAAAGCATCAATTATCTGCCCTGAGAACGAGATCGAAGCTTTAGGGGGCTGTAGTGAGAGCAATCCAGAGCAACTCAGTGCTCAACTAAGCAGGATGAATCAAAGACTTCAGCGTGAGAGTCAGAGGTACTGATTTGACATGTTTTGTTTTATCTTCAAAAACTTGACGAGCTTTGTACTTCATATGAGATGTTTCCTATTGCAGATTTCCAGAATCTATTGAAGATCTCAGGATGTTGTACCAAAAAAAGGAGCGTAAAATCCTAAGGAAACAGCAAAATTACCAAGCCTTTCGAGAAAAACTAGAAGTAGCTCAATCCTTCTTCCTTTCTCTTGGTTGCTTAGAGATAAATATTCTTACTTAAATTTGCCATTTTCTATGTTAGCATGTGAGTTCACGAACTTTGTTCAGCTTCAAAAGTATCCAGTTAAGTCATTACTGTTCCCACTCTGGAAAGAGACAACTGAGTTCTGAGTTGGCGAGAACTTTCTCAAACACTGCCATTCACTTTTACCTATGTATTCTCATTTTTCCTGAAGTCATGACAGAAATTATCATGCACACTTTTCTACCTTAGTCTTGTCTCCTTTTATCCCTTGTGCAGTATTAATAATGGAATTTATTAAATTATCATCAGTAAAAGAAGCTAACTTGATTTTATTAGCATCATTTGAGATATAGAAGGGGAGACAAGTACCTTTGCTGCATTGGTGATTGCTTATTTATTCGTTGCTATGTTTTCTCCTCCAATACTGGAAGTCTGAACTTCTCCAATTTCTTGATATCTTTGTTAACTTTGCTATACTTCTGATTTCCTCTGTAATGTATTACTGCTTCAGTTTTCTCTTAATTTTACTTCAGGCATGCCAAAAAGCATTAGAGTTGCGATTGAGCAAATTCCAGAGGAACGCAACTCTTTTGAAGCGCCAGCTGACATGGCAGTACTGTTCTCTTCATATTCTTTTCTTTTTCAAAGTGATCTTTCCTATGTTTTTGACAGGAAAGCTTGTTATTCTTAAAGCTTCACTCCATCCTGATTGATGAATTTTTTCATTAGATTTAATGGCCATTTGAGAAGGAAAGGGATATGTGGTCAAATCAAAGTTAGTTATGAGGAGCAAACCCTCTCAATAGAGGTAAATTGACCTCCCCTTCCCCAATGTGCTGTGAATCGAGGACTGTGTTCAAATTCACTGGTTTCACAAGATTTCATTTTCTGGATTCACCCTGCTATGAGCTGGTGAGTAACAGCCCAGTTAACTAAGTATTTCCTCCCTCATTTGATTGCTTTCTTTCTTCACAGGTAAAAATGCCTCAAGATGCATCAAGCAGCTCTGTTCGTGACACTAGAGGCCTTTCAGGTGTCCTCCTTTTCTATTGCTTTATGAGTATTTCTTCAATTTAAAGGAGCCAAATATGAGCCTGAATCATATGGACCATTGATCAGAATAGTGGATTCAAATTCGTCATTGAAGGACAAAATTGAGTAGATGACTGCTGAGTGAGTTTACTTATGGTTAACACTGTTATGTTCTTTCTTTGATGTATGAACAGGTGGTGAGCGTTCCTTCTCAACTTTGTGCTTTGCCCTTGCGCTTCATGAGATGACAGAAGCACCATTCCGAGCAATGGATGAGTTTGATGTATTTATGGTACGTTGAATAAGTGAATTTTATTAGTTACCCTTGTATGTTATTAGCGTGATGAACGTTATGTGTCTTCATACTTCAAATCTTTCCATAATAGCCACACTAAGGTGTTCTCTTAATCCTAGGAGGAAGAATTTCAAGGACGAACATGAATTTGCCGTCTCCAATTATTATAGAGGACTTAGAAGAGGGAATTAACATTTTAAATTGATAAATTGATCCTGTTTATGCTAGGATCGCCATTTATTTGCTCAATCTTCCCCGTTTTCTTTAATTGGCATCTTTCTTGTTTGCTTGTTTTTACCAATCACTTGTGGTTTTTTACCACCACTCTATATTTTAAACCTCTCTGAAACCCTTATTATCAACCCTCCCCCACAAAAACAAACACGTGCTTGTGCGGTGACATCCATGTAATTTACTGTGTTCCTTTTCTATTTCGCGAGTCAAAACAATTTAGTATCACAATATGTCCATTTCTGTTTAAACTGCAGGATGCAGTTAGCAGAAAAATCAGTCTAGATGCTATTGTGGATTTTGCATTGGCTCAAGGATCCCAGTGGATATTTATTACTCCTCATGACATCAGGTAAAATTTAATGCGGGCAGTCCTATATCAAAATTTGCTATGAAAAATATGAGATCATTAGTTCTATTGCAGTGTTTTTATCCTACTTATTCAAGCCAAAACTCTAGAGTGCATGTTGGTTAAGTGGTGCTAGATAGGATCGGACAATCTAATGAACAAGGTTTTAGCTTATTTTCTTAATTCTTCCAAGTACCACCCATCATTACTACGAAATATACCATGAGATGAGCATGTGAGTTCATCTTAGTTTCTTAGGTTAAAAAAAAAAAAAAAAAAAAAAAAAAAAACTAGTGCTTGTAGGTTCTCAAGTTTTATTTAACTTAATATTATAGTCAAATCCAAATTCAAATGAGATTCAAAACACTACCTCCATGAATAAGCTATAATAATTTTAATCATACACTTAAAAGAACGTTGATAAATAATTTCTTGAGAAAATCGCAAATTACCCTGTTGTGATTCATGAATCCTGCACGTTATTCCCTTTGGCTGGAGTGATTCTATTCATCCCTTTCCCATTTGGAAACCCTGTAAACTACCATTCTTCCATCAACTTGGCTAAAGGAGTTGGATTTTATCACGTTCTGAAAAATAAATGTCAATGTTTTTGAGCTATGGTGATTCTGCAAGAATCTTTCTACTCAATTAGGCAATGTTATTGAATTTTATGGTGTAAAAATGTGGTGCATAGATATTGTTTTTAATCTGTATATCTCACATCTGACGCTTTTGATTCAGCATGGTGAAGAACGATGAAAAGATAAAGAAGCAGCAGATGTTAGCACCTCGCGGATGACTATTAATTGGGAGAAGTTTTGTCTTCTTTATGCATGAAGTGTATCTAAGATTATTGTTTTTGTCCCTTAGAAAGAGTTCACCTTATTACACTCAATTGAGTTTCTTAAGAAAATACAAATCAAGCTGTTTGATTTTGTATAATTTACTTTAATATATCTCAAATTTATTTCCATTCACATATTCACACAATAAAATATTCTACATATTAATCCTAAACTTTTTTATATTTTTTAATCATTCATTCTTCAAAAAATATTATTTAAAGAATAATGTTATTTGCAACCGTTCACTGCAGCGGTCGTCTTATGTGGCATTTAGTGATATGTTGCATAAAATAAAAAAATATCATAATAATGTATCAAATCATTAATCGTTATAGGCACGTCACGTAGAGCGGCTACGTTAGTAGCGACTGCAAATAACATTATTCTTATTTAAAACATAGTTCTTTTCTTTTTTAATCGAAGGTGACCAAAAGGGGGGAATCTTGACCCCAGGGATTAAGATTGCTGGCAATTTGATGCTTCGTTTAACAAGCCACATAATTAAATACACGAAATTCGTTTGGTGAAATAATATCTCGACTGTTATTGTTGTCAGCAATAAACACATGCAATGTTAATTAGTGATGAAATTTACGTCACAAATCAAAATCATAGTAGTACGTTGTACGCATTTAGATAATGCTCAAATGCATGTTCTTTTCTAGCCTAATGCAACGGACAGAAGAATCCACTTTTTCCTTGTAGATTTCTGTCTTTATTAAGAAGCCTTTCACATTATCAACTTGAAAATGAATATTTCATAAAAGGAAAAATTGCCTCGATTTGTTTGAATCAACTGAATTTGTTAAATGGGTTGAACAAAATGATCGAGGCATTTAATCAATTCATTTTAAATTTATTAAAAATAAAATTTGATCCGTTTTATTATTAATTCAAAGAATAATCGAGAAAATTAACTTAATGAACTCTTAATCAAGATATCATTACATGCAACAATTCTACCAAGAAATCGTTACACATTGCCTCTCAAGAATTAAGAAGATCAATTCTCAATCATTCCAACTTAAAGCAATTGTATATGAACTTTTGTTTCGATCCAATCAATCATTCTTTCTATTTTAGCCGGTGAAGGTCTACTCATTTTTATACTCTAAGAACAAGCAATACGAGGGAATTCATCGGAAGAATCTTTAAGTTCTTCAATTTATATTTATTTAGAACTTCAATATCATTATTGATTCGAAATGATATAAAATGGCATGTCAAATAATATAAATCGTGAGGATATTGAAATAAATGAGACTAGAATTCCTAAAACTTTTAATAGGGAATTTGATAGTGTGAAATGGCAGTGTTTGCTGACTAATGTACTAATTCATAAAATTAATTGATTTCAGAGAAAAAAGAAATGAGTTTATTTATTCCCGGAAGTTCATGTTACGCCTCTCCACCCCTCGGGAACCCTATGTGGCATCCCGAGAGAAGCTAGAAAAGGCTCCTCTCCGACGTGACGAACTCCAAAAATCAAAGCTTTCTCGCCGAAGCAATGTGGCTTGGAGGTTCTAGTCCGAATCTCGTTCGTGATCCCACTTCCCTTGAAGATCTCATATTGATAGAATCTTATTCGAATGATTGATATGACCCATGTAATGAGTAATATGTCAAAATTTTGTCAGCATAGTTTGTAGGATGACTGCTTCTTTTAAGAGCATTAAATGCATTACAGGCTAGTGAGGTCAAATTGATACTTAGAATAGGATGCTTCGATTTAGGAGATGATGCCACGTGCCTCATCATCAAATGGACGCCCTTTTCATATGTATACCTTCTCCTTGTATCATTCGAATCATAGCAACATTATATATTGGAAACTAAACTTCATGCTTCTTTATGCTTTGTTATCCCCTTATATTTGAACTAGGTGTTTAACCTCGAGTTTATGTGTCCTTGAGTCCTCAGTGCCCGAACATTTTTGTCTCGTGTTGCAAAACTTCTCCTCCGCTCAAACTCGAAAAACTTTGTTGACTAGCAATTCGTTCAAGCATGTTGGAATTAGCTTGCGTAGGTACGAGTAGGCCCGGTATCTGTTATCCACTTGTGTATACAAAAATCGAGGTCATATATTTATCAATGTAGCATTCATTAAAAGCTGGATGGTATATTACTGTCTTGTTGGCTTACCTGTCAGGTGCATGCTTTCCTCTTCTGTTTTAATGAAGTGATCTTATCATGTTTGTCTTCTGCATAGGATTATTGCAAAGCACTGTTTTAGTAAGTTTAGGACGTAACTGATTCAACCGTTCAGAGTACAAGGATCGGGAATTGTAATGTACATGTCAATTAATTGGTAAATCATTTAATTTTTGGGATCACGAATAAAATTTATATGTAACAAAAAGTTCATAATATTACATTACCTATTAAAGTTATTCATCGCAGATTTATAGAATAAAATTTATCTTTAGTAGAATCTACATCTAATGTCATAATAAATTCTTGTTCATTATAGAAATTAGAATGTTATAATCACCAAGAAAATCATCATCCATTTTGTTATGAATTACCGTCATCACATGTTTCATTTTCTTCCATTTCGAAAAATGCATAAAAAAACATTTAAATATCCCTATAATCCGAAGACAAACGAATGAAGTAGTGGGATGAATTCTTAAAAACAACATTATAAAGAAAAGAAATAAAATTCAAAGGTATTGGAAAAAGGATAATCACTTAGCTATCAAAATTATAAAAGAGGGCATTCATGCGCTGGTTTAAGAATGATTTTTCTATGAATCCAACATTATATAGAGAATGATATATATTATTTCTAATATCCCAAGAAACCACGCTATTGTGGTCACTAAGAAAGCTAAAGATGTTTGAAACATCAAATATAAATTAATGCCTCTATTATGTAGCTCCTACGATTGAGAAATTGATTGGAAGTAACCTTCTTCAAATTAGTTTTTTTTATTTAAATATGTTTTTGAGTTGCATGTTAGATCATAGAATGAATTCAAGAGTTATAAGATTATGAATATACAATTACTAAAAATAAGGAGAAAAATAAAAACAAGCTATTGCATTCTTAATCTCATACGTTGGCCTTTTCCTTTTTTTACAGCACAAAGGCTGTTCTTTGAAATACCAATGAAATAAATGGATTTTTTCAATTTGGGCTAAAAAATGAAAATAAAAAAAGGGAACAATACATATTTAAGGTAGTTACTGTATACAATTTCAATTTTAAGAAACTAGTTTTAAACATTCAAAAGTCAGGTTGTGTGTATATATATATATGTGTGTGTGTGTGTGTATGCGCTCGCTCGCTGTCCCCTGAAATCAAGCATCACAAATTGGGAACGATCACAGATGCAAGGGATTATAGAGGTAAAGAATTGAGCTTTGTCATCATCCCAGAGTACTTTTGATCTGGTTCAAAGCCACAATTAGTGAATGAAAGCATTGTATTGTAACTGAATCTTCCAATATTTCAGATCACAAAATTGGTCGTTCCAATTTCCCACAACTCGACTCCTCTCCGCCATCTCTTCATTCACTGCCAACGTCGACTTTGTGGTTGTGATAAATGGAAATGAATTGCGGAAAGAAGAATAGAGGCTGGCAGTGGCGGTGGAGCTAGAGGGGGTAGAAGTAGGAAAAATACCGAAGAGAGCGACGATTATGCACTTCAAAAACTGTTGCTCCAGTGACCCTGTTATTGCAACATCGATAGCAGCTTCATTTTTTCCCTCCTCCTGGCAACTCCTCAACTCAGTAAGAATTTGGTTTTCGCTTGATTTGATTGGGTGGAATTCACTAATAATTGAAAATGATTTCTTTAAATTCACAATTTGATTGTTGCCTTCCTGCCAGCTTCAATTTATGTTTCCAATTTCAGTTCAGTTTATTTTCTATAATTGCTTATGGATTCAGCTTCTTTTCTATGCGTTGACACACAAAAAGTTCAGCTGAAGTCGAATAGTCGAAGGAATGAAACTCAATGGAAAGATCCCCAAAATCAAATGGCCCAAAAGAACGACCCAATCAGGCAATGCTGGATAAAGGCCCAAATAGGGAAGCCCATGAATGCGGTAATACCATCGCCCAAGGTTGCAAGTCGTCCAAGATTTGAGCGAATGAATTGCCATGCAATCGCCCAGAGTTGTGATCCTGCTCTCGTCCAAACATTCGAGTCGCTCAGCATCTTAGCAAAAGTGCAGTTAATAAAGCAGTTATTGGGTAGTCCTATCACGTTCCACGATTCAAAGAATTCAATTGAAGACGGTTGAACGACAAAAGTAATTGCAGCAGTTAGAGAAGACAATTTCATGACAAGTTGGCCACTACAAGGAAAGTGGGCAGTTATAGAGCGATCAAGTAGTTTTTAAGCGATTGATCACGAAGAGATCATCCAGGGAGTATAAAAGGAAGAAAAGACATAGAGCAAATGACCCTGAATCAAACACTCTCAAACAGAGAATATGTAACTTTAAATTTCTTAGTTTAGATTTAAATACTTCCTTTTTTAGTAACTCGTATGCTGGCGCCCCTTGGAGGTATTTTGTTTTTATTTTCCAATTGTAAAGTCTTCGCCAATAAAAAAAAAAATCCATTTTTGGGACTTTGTTTCAAGAGGTTTGTCCCTTACAAAATCGTCTGATCCCTTTTTAATTATTAGCGACTAACCCGTGCGAAACACTATGATAGAATTTGGTTCAATTTATTTTCTATAATCGAATAAATTCCAATTCAATCATGATGGATGCTTGTCGGAGAAAATTTAGGGTCAACTGATGGTTAAAAACGGGTAGTTTAGGGATTTCATTTTGGACTATTGCCGGTAATATAATTTACGTATATGCGACCTCACTGGTTCATAGTTGTGACCCGTTTTACATGAAATATGAGATATTTGAATGTGTCTTGGCACTTGTTATTAAAGCAGAATGTTTGCTGTGATATATACAATTTATACATCCAAAGTTTACCTTATATCGATGCATAATGAGAGTTGTCATTTTTGAAACTTGTGACCAGCGCACATTGAATTGTGACTAGTGCACATAAATCAAAATGGGAAATGTGAACAAAGAAAAAATAGTGACCTGTGACCACTACACATTAACTAGT